TCGGGAGGTCCGTGGAGGTGTTTGGGAATAATATTGGAGAGTATTACACTTGTATATTATATTCGGCTATCTCTGCAGCCAAACAATAACAACAACGATAACGACGTCAAGGGCTGGCTGGCTTAGCTCTTCGACGACGATCACCGCGCCATAAATCTCACGTTAAAAACACTTTAAACTTGCGACCGCGGGTTATAATTATTTCTCCGCGCTGTGCACCACACATGTGACTTGTCGTTAAGCGGCGGCGGCTGGAGGGATTTCACCGGGAGAGAGAAACACACACACACAAATTATGGAGAGAGACAAAGAGAAATATGCGCGTGTTGTGCGCGCAACACCCTTTTAAACGCCTATACATATATTATTATTATATATTTGTGTATTTATATATATATATACGGTGATAAATCTATTGACGCCAAGTGCCGTTGAAAGATAACAACCCATCTATCAGCCACCACCCCCGCCGTGCCCCACTGCACCGGTGCGGAGAAAACTGTCGAAATTACCGGGTTTGTTTAGCAATTATAATATATATACGAGTGTATGTGTACGCACGACTCTGCCGCCCCACTTGCCGAGCGACGGCGACCCGAAGTCGAGTGCGTATGGCGGCCGAGGGCGTCGGTTTTTCGGGTTCCGCCGTCCGTTTTTCCGTCGACGCGATAAATCGTCGAATGCCGGAGTAAAAATAATATTATATGATCTCTAACGACGAGAGCACTCCGAGAGATTTTTTTCCCCCGGTTGATTTTTATTTGATTTTCACACGAATGTGCGGGCAGAGCGAAACAAATGGAATGCATTTTTGTACACCGCTCGTCATTATATATTGTTGTTGTTGTTATTATTGTATTAACCTGCAGCAGTTATTATATTGTATACACACGATAATATATTATTTACCTACAGCGGCCGTCTCCATTTATAGGTCGAGCGCCGTTCACGGTTATTGAGTCTGGTAAATAATTAATATAATACGTATCGTTGTTATTTAGAATGCCGGACGATGAGATTGGCCACGAATGTGCGGCTATTAAATTTTTATTCCACCCGAATCCGACCAAATAATAACTGATAATAGTAATAATAATATAATTAACTCTGTCCTCGAGAAGATCCGTTGTATAACATATTATATAGTTGCTTCGCGCGCTTTGCAGTATTCTATACATGATAGGTTGTGAAACGCGTATTACGTACAATTTTGTATAGTGTACACGACCGTATTGTTTTTATCCAATCAAAACACGGGGACCGAACACCGAAGGAGAGTCGTACACGTCGGATTCCGAAGAGCAAATAACAAAATGAAACGCAACGCAATTTGGCGGTTATTTTTTTTCTCCAACGAAACGGAAAAAAATATAACGATCATCGTTGTCGTTTCACGTCCACACGTCATCATCATCATCACCATGGCAATTACATGAAACACGTGAGTGTTTGATGGCAGCATAGATGTGATGATGTTCTAAATTTTAAATCTGCGCTAGTGGATATAACATAATAATGATACCAATAATAATAATATAATATATGTTTTAGAGAATCGGTTTTCGAGTACCCTCGTCAACATAACGGTTGACGTGAATAGAAAAATCAAAAATTATATCAATCGAATTGGGTAGTGACTCGAATAACGCACGCATAGGTATATATTACAATATTTTTACATAATAACATAGAAAACTGTATTCACTGGAAACATTGATGCAGTTTACGAGGCTAACGGCGACAGCGTACGGGTTTCGTGTACTATAGGTACAATAATACCTAACGTGACATATGAATATATATATTCATATAAAAATTATAAATAAATACGTCATACGGGTGTATACGTACACCGTACATGTGGTAGATTCAATATTGAATTTTTAATTAAAATGTATACGTTGGAGGAAACTGGAAAACAAACGGATCTATATAGGTATCAAGGTGTGCAAAGAATATTATAATATAATGTCACAACTCAAAAACGTGACTTTTGAGTTAATTTTGGTTAATGATATAACATAATGATGTACCTAGCTATATAATATTATAAGTGCGTGTATTTTTTTTTTGCGTAAAACACGCTACACTTAAATTTAGTTAGGTATAATACATTTTTCAAGCATTCGTTTTATCTACAAAGTACAACGACAATATTTTATGATAAAAGATGAAATTTTAGAATTTCAAATCATTCTCCTGAAAAATCACGTATTTTGAGTTCTCACGACTATTCTTGAGCACTGACTATATACGTATATTATGTTATGATATATTAATATAACACCAGCGCATTGCATGCTGGATAAGTCTCTGCAATCGTCTCATACTTTACAACTATACTCATATTTTTACATTTTAAGTACAAAAATCTAAAATGCAGAAGACAACAGCCAAATGCAAAATAGTTTAGTGCTTTAAACAAAATGTAGCTTGAATATTATTCCTTAAAGATATTATAGTTTGCCTAGTTCACTAGAAAGCAATCGCCCTATACTCAGTCTATTTCATGTATAAAACTGTTAGGTAAGGAATTAACCATTGATTATAAATACTAAAAAATACGTAAATGAATACTTACTATAAAAAACAAAATGCAGACCAACCTAACCTATTGAATGATGATAAAGACAGACGGGAAAAATTCAAAAAGCTCACAATGCTCCTATCATATTTTTACAATAGCAATTGAAAAATAAAATAAATGCGTAGTCACAATTTTTTTTTACAAGCATTCAAAGTTTGAATTTTGACAACATATGTAAAAATCACGAAAATCACGAAAATTCGCAAATTATTTCAAACTAGAAGTTCATAAACATTTTTCTTTTTAAATCTAAGATTTGAAAATTTTTAATAATCTATAATATATCCTAGACAGATAAACCGTCTTCGCTCAGAATCGGTTTTTGTATATAATGATATAATATCATTGGATTCAAATTTAATTCCATCCATTACAGTAACCCACTTGTAACCTACTGTACAGCAGAGCGACATCCACGACTTACCCGCCTTTTTTTATCATTATATCAGTAAAATATTTCTATTGAAGTTTCCCGCAGTTAAATTTAAAATGTTTATAATTTTATACATCATAATATCTAATAACTAATAAGTAATATTTATCGAATGCTACTTAATAATCATTTTATTATCACCATGATTATGTATTGAACTGTTTTAATAATTTTTTTTTTTGTTTAAACGTTTTAGATTCTGCAAAGCGCAACGTAAACGTTACTTGTTTTATAAAACCAGCACGGTGTTAAGTTTTAACTGTGTGATTATTATTATTATTAAATTATTTTACAATGGGTAAGAAATTAATCAACGATATCATAAAATCATGAGGAGAAAATTTGTTTTAACATCACTCCAACACATTATAATACATGTTGGGATTGCAGTAAGTTTAATATTTTATTTACTTTGCACGCCATTATATCTGTCATTGTACACGATATCCGGGCAATTTACACATTATCCTATCTGAATCACACCCACTAAAATTGGACACTGCTTAATTTAGTTATTTTTTATTTTATACTTCACCTGTATTAATACAATATTATAATTTATAATGTGGACCTAGGTCGCCGACATGGCTTAGTTTTATTACGTTAGTCAGTAACTGCGATACCTTTCGTTAGTGTATAAATAGGTCTTTAATGGGAAAACGGTAGTGACAGCTGTAGTTGTTCTCTACACCATTCCTCGAAAATTTCCCTAAGACTGACCAATGTAAAATATTATAATAGTGTATACGGCATAACACTCACGAGCGAGTAACCTCGATAATTTCCGCGTCTTCGTGGTTTGTCAGTGTTAGACTAAGAGAAATATGAAATTGTCACCACGCCATTTTCTCCGATAGAGCCAAAAGATTCTTGATCAAATCGTTTTTGAATAAGGTTTTTTGGCGAATGCGTAAAATAATTTCGGTTAAATTAATCTATAGGCTAAATGACTAAGATCCTAAGATGAGGCATAACATCATGAATATTATATTTAGAATATCTAAAATATAAGTATACCGAATTTTCAAAATTTCTTTGTTAATTGTTTTGTGTACAAAATCGGCTTCCATATCACCACCATAAAAAATCGTGACGTTTAATTAGATCATCATAATCGAATTCAATAATAATAAATGTGGCAATAATAATATTCACTCATCAGTGGTGATCGTTGGTCAATCAAAACAAATATTGCCTATTCAATATGTTCGTGAAGTTTATATAGGTAACATATTATACAGAGTTATAATACGTTAACATGTGAGTTAATGTATATTAATATAACGTGCAACGGTGTACCTTTCATATATACTAATATGATATACTTACCGCGTGTGCAGCAACACGGGTAGGTATGCAGTTTTATATTATTTTAACATGTTTTTCGATTATATCGTATGTCTTATCTGCACCGCCGCCGCGCCGTCTCGGTGATATATTATATTACCAGGGTATAGAAATCTGTTAGCACGTGCGTTATACATGCATACGAAACGATCGTTTTACAAACAAGTTGTGGAAGCTGTGCGCGTAGGCAAATGAAAAAAAATAAAAATAATATTTCCTGTACGCCTATATAGATACTATAATATAATTGTATATTATATAATTTATTTTGTTATGATGCATGTACAGTGTGATCCGTTTAACCGTACGATTATTCTTATATTCTCAGCCGATGGACAACGAAGAAACATAATTGGATTTTATTTTTATATGCTTATAATTTTTCCTACACATTTGACCAACGTGTAGTGGTTTTCAAGGATCTTTATTTTGTTTTTATTTTTAAAACGTTAGCCTGCTATATTATCGTTTTGATCGTACCTATCTATTATATTAAATAAATATATCATAAAAATATAACACGATCGCCGTCGTGAAAAAGTTGACTTGGAAAATTATCCGTTGCTATATTATTTTCTAAACCGATCGCTCTGTACATAAAATATAAAATTATATGTATCGTGTTTGACTTACGTTTGCACAAGGTATGTCAGCGACCAGCTGCTTGGCCACGCCGCGTCCCAGGGCGTCGCGTTTTCTCTGTGCGCTGAACAGCCTCAGTTCTTTGCGTTCTTCATCCGACAGCCCTCKACAGTACCGCACCTCGTTATCGTGTGGAGGCAACTGTTGCAGGAGCTGCCTTACCCTGTACCGCTCACCCGCCGAGTTCAGGTACGGCACTTTGTCTTCGGGCACGCCCGAGAAGAACAAGTGCACCTGGAAGAGCAAACGAAAATAAAAACAACCATTAGCGTACATAATATTGAAAATCAAGCACAACTATTACTATAGACTTCTCAAACGTTCGGGAGTGTTATAGTCATTATACGTTTTATAAAATTATATTATAACAATACATAAAAAGCACAAAGACGGTTATAGGTATGAGGGAAAGCATTATTATAGACCCATCATAATAATTCAAAATATTATTGCGTATTCAAGTTGGGTATTGTAAACACCAATGAGTATTCGAATGTCACAAGATATTGTCACGGTTATTGCAAACTTCGGTGTTCGTAGATCTATTTTTTGGATTCCTATACTTATAATTGTAAGTATTCTTATTTTATTTATGACTACATTTTTTTTTATGTATAATTAAATATTATCATTACAATAATAAGTAATAATATGTAATGTGTATGATTTGTATGGTCAAATTATTTGTTTCCAAGTATAAGTTTGACAATTTTGCATTCARAATCATCGAAATTTACATTGTTTAAGGGTAAAAAAAAAATAAAATCTTTTTTTTGGGTCGTTATCGACTAACAATCGTGTTACGAAAAAGGTAAAACGCCCTCAATTTATTGTGTTGCGCCCACGGTGAAATATTTTAAAAACATCGATTTTCAATTTTATGACAGGCAATATTTGTCATTGTTAATCATGTCTTTAGTCAACAATAAATATGACTAAAATAAAAAACGAGATAAATTTTTTTTTAACTTTATGGGTAGGTAAACCTACCTCATATATTCTAAGAAACGTACCTAACATTTGCATATGTGTGGTGCCACGTGTTTATTTATTTAGTTTCCCTATTTACCTTTGKGTTGTTGACAAATGTATATTTTTAAATTTCTAAGGTGAGAATAAAAAATACACCATGTTYCAAAAAGTATAAMGTTCACATTCTGTACCAATCACAATGGGCCGTAAAATATTATGTTTGGTCTGCGTTTCACCATTATATAACCGTACACTATTGTAAGGGATGTAGTAACTTTTTCAGCACGTTTAATTAAATTTCGAGCACTTTTTAGTATTCAGAACTCGAATGCACATTAATTAAATAATATCCTAAACATAATTGAAAACAAATATTTATATATACTATATAGGTATATATAAATTTATAAATATTATATATATATTTACGCATAACCAAGTGAATTAAAATATGTACCCAATAATCCTAAAAAATGCGTTGTATTATTTGGGGACGCGAAATAACGAATGTGTATTTAGTGGGACGTTTCGGTACTGCGTAATAATAATTTTTGTGTAAACATTTCATTCGTATCGTRAAAATATGAATCGGGCCTAACCCATATAATATATTATTGGTATATAGGTACATAGTAAAGACTAAAGGTACGCAATAAAATTCCGTCATCACAAGAATTGTCCAAGTGCGTTAAAAACCGGTGGGTTAAAATCGAATTATCGATCTCGAAGGACACACGTATCTTATATATATTTATGCATATTATACAGTGTATAGTGTATACACTACTCATGCGCTACAGCACAGTAATATATGTTATAAATTATCGTCAAAAAATTACAGCCTCCGGAGATGTCCAATTAACTGTAAAAATTCTCGCCAACATTATAATATACACATATAAACACTTTTAACCCGATTAATTCACATTAATAAATTTATGATTAACTCAAGAGTGTATATATAATAGGCAAAGGTTTGTCGGGATTTCATTACTAGCCCCCAGAGGTATCGCTGTATACGGTTTCCGATCCGATCAACAGGTGGGCGTGATTTGTTTAGGACGTTTTATTAATTTGAACGCTGCACGGTGCGCGAGCGTTGTTATTAAACAGTGATCGTTTTGAATATGATTATCATTAATCATCGCACGCGACAATACAGTTTTGGTTTTATGCACACTGATTTATACTCACAGAGAGATAGATCCGTGTAATACCGGTATGCGTAAATTATTATGATATATGATTTGGAAAGAAAAATAAAATTGTAATAACGTCGACGACGATGACAATATTATTATTCCGTTCACGTTTACGAATTATCTCGGAGGCGACACGAACCCGAAACGCTTGAATAAAAATGAAAGACAATATTCCTAATAACGTATCTAYCAGTGTACTACTATTCATAATATTACAATATGTATTAGATTATGTATAATATTGTGTATATATATATAATAATAGCTGTCGAAGTTTTCTAATTTCCACCTGCCCACATAGCAATGTAAGWATGTCTAGCATACGTAATTTTATCGTCAGCCCTAGGAAATCACATCAGTTCGGAGGAACAGGCATAACTTTATGTATATCTTACACCGTAATATTATAGGAGGTTCACGATRTATACCCTTTAATCATCATTCGGTGTTTTTAATCATAATTAATAATACTAATTTGGTACTATATGATATTGAATTTAGCTGATTAATGCTTAGGCATGTACCTACATTAATATTGAAATAAATTAACCAACCGCGGTATATAGACGAATTGTCGAGTGGTTCGGTCTAAGAGGATAATATATATTTTTCAAAATTCTTGATTTATGAGTCATAGACACATAGTTACATTATTATACAGTACACACCGTATTAGCAATATAGATTAAATAGGTGATGTACATAATGCAGGTTGAATTGCATTCGTTTTCACATAGATACAGGTGACATACAGATTACAATTTTGGGTGGCAAAGCACTTCTTGTTACCCCTCCCCCCCTCCCMCGAAGTTGTTGTGGGGGYAGACGTATCGTTTTGTCGGATAGGACGACTATATACGATGTTATTATGATGTAAATACACCTACCTAAACAATTATTGTTATCTAGCCGTACACACGTCGTTTAACGTCACCCGTCGACGCGATTCGAACAAATCTGTTTCGACGGATACGAAATGTAAGGATAACCACGTGTCCACGTACCCACATTACGCGCCTATATACCTTCGCGACAGCGGAGTGCATTTGTATAATAATAAAAATAATAGTAATAATAATAGTGCCAAGGAGTATATTATTATAATTTATAATGTATTATATTATAGGTATTATTATAATAATGTGTCGCCCGTGGTAGACGACGCGTTTGTTAATAACAATGGGACGTCGGACGTCGTAATTACTCGGACGGTAATTTATGGACGTTTGTCCGGGCGTCGGCATACCTTTAGTTGTATAGGAGTATCGGCAAGCGCGTGCTTATATATTAACGCCGCGCGTGAAGTCCTGCCGATCGGACTGCGGACGTGCGACAAATGATATTCGCTGCGCAATAATAATAATAATAATAATAATAATATATTACTTTGTAGTGTGTATAATATATTGTATAATATGCAGGACCTCGACGTCAATGCGGTGTACATGAACACGTACAGAGTGATTCGCCTATTCTRGTATATGTTCACAGCACCCGGTGTTTTGTTTTAATAATATTTATCTGTTCTAATTGTGGTATTTGAATTTATTAAATTACGCGACCTTAATATTATGTCATTTCTCGAATTTTCGAGAACTTTTTACATCTTAAGGAATTTCTCGGGGCGATACAGACTTTTCAAATGAAAATCGCAAGTTTTTACTGTAGATTATTTTTTGGAAACTTTGATGTAGGTACCAATAATTCAAAATTAAAACGAKTAGCTTCTATTTACGTTAAAATGTTTTTAGTTTGACACTAAGGATAAAAATATTTAAAAATGGTTTCACRGAAATATAAAATATATTGTGTGGTATTATTTCATTATGCTTCGACCTTTTTTACAGATTAAAAATGTTCATAGATTTATATTAATTAATAAAAATTTCAAATCATCATAACTTCTATGTCTTCCAAAGCAATTATTTTGGACTTACTATACTTAGTCTTTAGTACATATTATATTTAATTAACTCATAAATAAATAGTCTGAATTTCTACTTTGTTACGYTAAAATAATGTTCAGTTCATTCATCCGCTAAACAGCTTAAAGCAGAAAAAAGGATGGTTTTTATTTTAAAAACAGAAATATACAACTCCTCAGGACACTCTCCTTTAGTAGTAAAAAAAAATATCAATAATTTAAAGATATGGTCTTAAGTATGTAGCTTTAATATTAACTTCAAAAATCAGTTTTTTAATAATTGTGTTGTTGAAGAAATACGGGGTGACCATGCTTGGCGAATCATCCTGTATATGTTTGCAGACGGCAATAAAGGATAAAACGACCACGAAAACCGACGTGAAGGATATATATATAGCTATTGGATTGATGGTATGACGGGATGGTTTCAGACTGGGGAGGGGGTGATAAATCGCCTTGGGAATTGACACGAGTCCGTCGAAAACACRAATAATGTAGTGTATAGTGTATAGGTAAATAAATTCACTTTACCGTGTTAATCTTATATACATATATAATTATCCTATGTATAGGTACTGTGTATTATATATATTAGGTTATGTACCACAGACCGCAGTGCAGTACCACGTGATATATTATTTTATTATAATCGATAGATATATTAACAATTTAGCAATGATATATATACTATAATAAACCTACACATAATAATATATTATTTCATATTTGCCATTGAAAAATAATATGGACAAAAGTCACACCGAAAATGTCCAGAAAAGTCGATAAACAAAAATAAAACGGCGTTTTGGTCATTCAATTTTTTTTCAGATTCTCATCCGGAGTCTCAAAATTTTTGTGAGTCGTTTTGAGTGTCTATATTATATTATAACTAATAKGTCTGTTGAAAGTGAGTTGCTATATTATCAGAGGTAGTGTTGAATCCAGAAAATTTCTCTGGGGAGGGGCCTCACTTTTTTTCATTGGTGAATGGTGATACATTTTATTATTATGAATTATATACCTATTAATATAAAATTACAATTTAGACATTTCAAATTTAGATACAACTACAAAACAAATTAGAAACAAATTGTATACTTTTAATTTTTAAATCTATTAAAGGCTAATCTAAGGTC